GGACCTGGATGCCGGTCTCACGTCCGAGCAGCGCAGCGTCTCCCACGCCATGATATCGATGATCGAGAACCACCTCGTCTGGGTGGTCGCGTGCTGGCGCACGAAGAACCTGGACCAGGTGCTGAAGGGCTACAAGGTCAATCTGCAGCTCGCCCTGGGCTCGCGTATCCCGAACGCCATTCTGAACTTCTTCTTCAAGCTCACCTTCGGACGCAAGGTGAGTCCCGCCTGTTGTTCGCCGTGTGATTTCGGTGTGACCTAGCATACAACTTGGACGTTAGAGATCACTCGACGACAATTCACGTCTCGCAACTTCCGATCGTTCGATTCTGACTGAAATTAACTTGCATCCATACGTGTTTTCTCGCACAACTTATTTGCATACCTCCATAATTATATTCCACATTATTTCCGTCGTTATTCAAGCTAAGGTCATGCTGTTTATGCAAAGGTCATATTTTTCCCCCCCTCGACCTACTCTCGTTGATTTTGTGACTGCACATTAGCTCTGCATGCACCACTCACGTTTACGCTAGTTTGCATTCGTGTAAATACTGACCGTAGTCGTTGCACAATTTCTGCCAGTATTAAAAAAAGAAAAGTGCCGCGCGCAGCCAGTCTCGTCGGCAATCATTTCGAAACTGTCTTAGTCCTGGTCGAGGTTTTCACCACCGGATAGTATGTCGCTAATAATATGGAATATAAGAACAACTGTGTGAAATGCAAGTTCAAAACGAGATACGGAATACCTTGTTGGACGGATCCGCTGGCACGGGCGCGGTTTCCAAAGTGCCACTTCCGTCCGTACGTTACTTCGACCAAGTTACGCTACTTACACGTTATCACAACGTTTACTTCATGCTATCTCCAGAATCATTCATAGTATTCGCTTAGAGTGCACCAAATGCGCCATAAATGTGCTATGAATGTGCTAGCTAGAGGTAGTATCGCGACGAGGGAGCGCGATCGTAGAACAAAATATCGTGACCATTTGTAGTGAGATGGTAGTTGGATTGGTTGCAGGGCGCGAGGAAAGTGAAGGCTCAGGGCATGGGTGTGCACAGTGCGGAGGAGGTGTCCCAGTTCGGCTGTACCGATCTCAAGGTGCTCTCGGACACGCTTGCCGACAAGCCCTTCTTCTTCGGGGACGAGCCGACTACCGTAAGTGTCGTTAAATCCGTCGACGCCGTTGCCCGTGGCGGTCGAGAGCTCTTGCGTCACGTACCGCGGCGGTACGTTCTAGCCCGCTGCTCGGTCCGCTGTGTAAATAATAGCTTGAGTCACTTGTAATCTGATGCCGAAGATGATATCGGTGAAAACCGGAGCAGCCCGCGGCAAAACGGCGTCGCGAAAAAGCTTTGTTTTCAATTATCTCGCAGATATTGGACCGAGTAAATAACAATTATTGGCACGAGCTTTGATGCTTTCCGACTCTCGGTCGATTAAAAAGTAATTGGTTCTAATTAATTAAACTTCGGGAGAACAGGTATGTCAAAATGTCTTCTTTAATATCGAAATCGGTGCTCTCGGGGCAATTTGAATGATAAACAAAGAACGATAATTTCTCGAGCGATTAATCTTATTTTTGAAATTAAACGGTTCGTAACAAACATATGACGGGTTTGCTGATTGCGCAAGCTGTTTTTCGTGGGCATTTATGTATCTGTCTTTCGCGTTAAAATTTACATTGCAAAATATGAATCAAAATCGTTTCAATCACGTTGGCACGAGCCGCATACGAGATATTTTTACTTTCTTAGAATACGGGATGCGTGGAAAAAAGTTTCCCCTAAATGTACAATTTTTGTAACAAACGTAATCTGTGAAATCAGTTTTAGTCAGTTACGTAATTGGAATTATGTTCGTTCCTACGCGAAAGATTGATAGAAGGTGTAGATTATAAGAGCTACTATACAATGTTGACGATCTATATAACCGGATCCGCGGCGATCTCTGTTTGGGTTTGTGCAGATGGACGTGGTAGCATTCGCGCATCTCGCTCAAATCCTGTACATCGACAAAGACACGCCGTACAGCCTGCGAGACTACATGGTCGAGAATTGCCCCAACTTGGTCGGGCACTGCTCGCGCGTTAAAGAACGATGTTTCCCGGATTGGGACGAGATCTGCTCCAGCCTGGACATGAATACGCATCTGCCGAAGCCCGAGAAGCAGGAGGAGAAGGAGGGCAAGGAGGAGGCGAAGGAGTCCAAAGAGTCCAAGGAGGAGAAGGAGGGCGACAAGGAGAAGGCGGACAAGGAGGAGAAGGAAGTCGAGAAGGACAAGGAAGTTGACGAGAACAAAGAAAAAGAGAAGGACGGCAAATAAGCGGTCTCTCGTTGTAAAGGGAAGTAATAAGTCGTTTCAAGGATTTAAAGGCGAAGAGTCGCGAAGGTGTATTGGCAAATGAAATAAAGATAGAGATAAAGAGAGAGAGGGATAGTTGACGGTAAGAGTGTGTGCGTGTGCGTGAGCGTGGCTGCGTGAATGCGAAACGACGACGGAGACGAGGACGATGTAGAAAGCACGTACCGAATGACGACAGGGGGGAAAGGGGAGTTGCCGGAAGTGAGGGATTGTGTGTCGGAGAGAAAGGGAGAAAGAAAGAGGGAGAGAAAGAACGAAAGGTAGAGAGACAGAGAGAAAGGAAGAGAGTGCGTACGTGTGTGTGCGTGTGTGTAAAAGAGAAAGCAAAAAAGAAAGAGACGAGGTTTGGGACTAGAGCTCTCTACTTATACGTATAGATATTAATAGACTCGTGTATAATGTTAATACTTCGTTTATATACGTTCAATGCGCATCACGCGTTACTTCACATTGACACACTCGAAACACACACGACCGGGACGACTATTCTCTAACCCACACGCCCTTTCTCTGCTCTGCTAAGGACAAACGAAGAAAAAAAAACGGGGCTATCTCATAAGTCATTAGAAACGTAGGATTGCAATATACGAACTGCAATAGTCTGACGCAGCTGGGGTCTTTGTCGACAGTGGCCAAATGCAATATAGCGTTACGCTATAAGATAGAAGTAGTTACGGGAGATGAGGAAGAGAGAATAAGAAGCGAGGGTAGAGTCGCGCGAAAACGGGCATACCGATCCCCCGCCTTCTCAGGCGTCTCCCACTTCGCTTCTCTCAATGATCCTTGCTGTGCATAAGTTACCTTGCGTCCTGCGCGCAACGTAACGCAATCTTCATTTTAATTTAGTCTCACGTTAATTGCCCCTTCGTATACGTTCATACGTGTATCGCGCGTTTTTACTTTCGCCTTCGTATCAGTGTTGAAATGAAGTTTCTAAAAGATTTTTTACCAGACGTACACCATTGAGAGATTGTCTATCGAAACCATCTGAGGAAGCATCCGTTGCGTCCCGTAGCCGGTTCATCGACGCGATCCGCGACTTTTCATTAACGCTAATGATAACGCTAATGTTAACGTAACGATAATATTAATAAGAACAATAATAATATTAATACTAACCGTATAGTAACGATAGGAGGAAGGGAATCCGATGTCCATGCAAAAACAAATGTCGGGTCATCGATTGACTGAATCCACTTCTCTCTCTCTCTCTCGCGCGCGTTCTTTTAACAATCGAATCGAGAGTCGAGTCACGCCAATTGACCAGCTAGCAACGGACGTCCTCAGACAGCCTAATGTAGAATGCAAATGCGAGCCGAGCGGGCCGGTACGGAAAAGTGGCTCGAGCCCGCTCTTCCGTCCGCGCCCGTAAATCCCGTTTGCATTTCAGCATCATCTCGAAGCGCGTGCAATCAAATTTTTACTTTTAATCGACGACGAGCTTATTCCTACATTTCGTACGGACTATACGATATACTTTTGCAAGCCTTTTCCGATCACTTTTTAGACAAACGGGTAAGGAACCGCGATAAGCGATGGACGGCACATATTATTATTATTATTATTATCTATTATTTGTATATTATAGTATATGTATTACGTAGAGACGCGCGCGCGAATGCAGTCGGACTTAGATACGCGAGGAAGATGCCATTCGTGTATAGCAGAGTCGTAATATTTCGTCCCACTGTCCACCACCTCCTTGCCCCCACCAAGCTCTCGTTTTTTACTCCCCCCCCCCTCCCTTCTTAACCCCTTTCTTTTTTCTTTTAGCGAAGAGAGGCACAGGTAATGTTTTGATCTCTTTTTCCCTTGGTACTCAAAACGCTGTGCTGCCCACGTGTTTTATTGATATACGATTTTTCGGACGTGTTAAGGAAACAAAAAAAAAACAATTACCTTGCGTAATACAAAGTGTCTTTCACGCATCGAAAATCGACAATTTGATGTATAACGGGAATTGAAGTTTTTTCTACGAACTGCGTAGCGGCTGCGTAGTTTTTCTACGGCAGCTGGACATATTCCACGAGAAGACACGAGATATATTACATTTAAGTAGCTTACTATATTATTGATAACGATTATATATATATATATTATACATACACATATATATATATGATCACGTAAAGGAAAAGTGGAAAAAAAAAGATTAGTGGATGATGCTGTTTATACTTAGGACGGCGCATATGTTTTCACCTGTGGTTACATATTATTATGGATTATTACGTGCGAGTAAATAATATAAATTAGAGAATGGAAGAAACATTTGGACAAGAGAGACCATAACGTTGCAAGCACAGTAGGTAGGCCCACTCAATACAGTAAGATTATTATAAGAGGAATATTAATAATTATTATAATATGACTGCTCGTTTTATGCTCGGCGCTATACATTTCATTGTCATTATTATATCACCATTTATTAACGATATACATACGAACAAATAAAATGTGTTTATAAATATGAAGCGAACTTTACGTGATCTGTCGACGTTTATTGCGATCTGCTGTCCAAATCTCTTCAGGGCCGCGCGTTCGAGAGACGCTACAGCACGCACTTTGCGCAAGTCGTGGTAATGGCGATGCGAGAGGAAAGGGCGGGTCAGTCAATAAAAAAAAAATGCCAAATCAGGAGCAATGATTATTTATTATCTAAACTTTGAGGACATACGTAACGGTAGAGTATCGAGAAGTAACATTATTTCGATCGTTTATCCACGTGGAATTCGTTTCACGCGCGTCATATTCCCATTATTACTACGTATGCTTTATAGATTTCCTTCGGAGTTGGCCTTTTATCTCGTATTCGGAGAACGTTCTACTCGGCACGGAGATATGTTTGATATTGCTATGACTCGATAACGCGATCGAAAGCCTCGGGACAGAGAAGAAATCGGGACACGTAGGCGTATCGCGTTCGTGTTGCATCTAAAATTTCTTTGTAAGCATCCTATATGACGTGCTAACGGGATGGATAGCGTTCGTGATAGCGAGGTGAAATGTAAACGTGACTGTTTTATTACGTTCGCCTGACGCGTCTCCGGCGATAAATATTGCTTGTTCGCCGCCGAGTTACGAGACTTGAGATACCGGTACGCACGCTTCTGTTCCACTCCCGATCTCCGCGCGTGTTCCTGCCGATTATTTTACATCCAACGAACCGAACAGTATCAACCGCCAGCCACTACGGATCGTCAATTTTTATGAATTACCATTAGTTTCCAAAAAAAAATGACCTACGTCGTCTTATCCGTATTACATTAAAATCTCGTACGATATTTAAGACACATATTTTTTTGTTTGTTACTTGACAGCGAGCGCGCGGTAAACGGCTGCCTAATTTATTTCCGCAAGAACTATTTCTCTTGGAACAATATTGTGTAACGTTATTCATTTATGCGATTTAAAGTACAGGTAGCGGTCGATCGAATATCTATCGGACTAATCGAATATAGTGACGCTTTTTAAGAGCTTTTTCTCCTTAAGCCTGAATATTATTTAGGACTTAGAAATTATGTATCGCCTCCAATCTTTCCTCTTGTATCTAAAATAAGAGTTTAAACACGTACATAAATAAAGCCGCTAATCAAACCGTTACCGTCGACTTGCCGTACAGGAACGATGCTCGAATTGGTCGATAAGCTACATTGGTACCCATATAACGTCGCTACAAAAATAATGTTCTTTGTTCATCTCATCATTCGATTCTGTGCGAAGAGTCGCCGGTACCGTTTACGACCTGGCGCCGGCAAGGGCTTTCAGTTAGAAAAATAATAATACTTCGTCTTGTAAGCCTTTCCACCTTGGAGAGGGATCTTCTCGGTTCCCGTATACCGAACTTTATGTGCTCGACCAAGTACAGTTTCGCACGACTCCTCGTCGTGCCGATATCGTGTTCGATAGAACACCGGAACTGAGAATTATTACGATTCAGCCGTCGAGTTTATATTTCTGTCAGCGGATAGACGGGGTCCTCGGTGCCGCAGAGAGAGAGGAAGTAGCACTCAGAGGGCTGTACTGGTCGTAGCTGTTGCTGTCGACTGCACGCCGGACTCAGAATTCGGTCGTCCGGCGTGTGGCTACAGCTACGTGGACGCAGCGAGGCTGATGGACGTTGACTCGGTGACGGCCGATCGCGGCTTCACGTCCAGGGAGTCGTACAGCGGGAATTCGCAGCACAGGATGAACTTGAGGAAACGCGGCACCTCGACGTAGATGGCCGGCGGTATCGGGATCAATGGCGACGTCGATTGCTTGTAGTAGCGATACTCCGCGTTACTGGAAGCATTTGCGGAACGTTGAAATACGAACGATCCAAATTGGCGCGAATAGAGCATAAATCGGCATTTATTAATAATTTTCATCGCAAACTATAGAGCAGAAGTTTCCTCGTTTCAATTATTACGTCTTTCCGCTTACATTGAGACTCTAATTGTTAGTAAATTAATGCGTACGGTGAACATTCATTTTCTATCTAACTCCGGTAGAACACTATCGTTCTTTAAGGTCGCGAAAATTCTCACTTGCACTTCTGCGACACTCACTCTCGGTATCTCTCGTCCGACGCCTTTTCCAATAACGGCATTCCCGACAGGAATAGAATGATAAGCGTCGTGAAGATCGGGGATGCGATAGCGACCCATTCCGCTCCTTCGATAACGTTCAGGGATATTATGAATATCCCCCACCAGACGACGATCTCGCCGAAATAATTTGGGTGCCGGGAGAGCCTCCAGAGTCCTAGAAACGTTATAACTTATAAATAACAACTGTCCTTAGCGAGAAATAAGGTTTATCGGGTCAAATCGGGAGAACAACCAGGGAATAAGACGCAAAGAAGTTTATCGGGTTTTCCCCCCTGGCGAGCCTTTCCAGGTCCGTTTTTCGGTTGCAATGAAATAAATCCTCGAATAAAAAGGACGTAGAATTTAATTATACGCATTTTTAATATATACATGAGAATCAAGGTTGACGAACGTTTCTCGTCTCATCAACAAAATCGCGCAACGCTCTTACTAAAATTTCACTTGCAGCATAAAGGGCTTAAACGGAGAAAGCATTTTCGCGCGTGACTCGCGGCGAATAAGTCTCACCGTCGTTGCACCACTTTCCATTGTTCACCGGGTCCTGCTTGAAGGTGAACTTCTGCAGATCGGCGTAGGTCTCGGCGAGCAGGCCGATGAGGAAGAGGCCCGTGCCGGCGCTGTCGAGCGTCGTCATCGTCTTCGGCGCGGGCGGTATCTTGTGGCGCGGAGAATTGATTATTATCACAGGCAGGCTGACGACGTACACCCACACGGCCTGCGAACCGTCAATGCGTCCTTCGATATCACATTCCCGCCGATGGAGAAATGGGAGAAGCATGCGAGAGCCGGGGGCAAAGCGAGGCGCTCTCGCGGCTCTTAAGTATCTCTCTACCTCACCTGGAATGTCCAGAACACGGCGAAGCGGATCACGTTGCTGCGACGGTCGTCGAATCTCTTGTCGCGGCCTATCTTGATGATCCTGTACAGGAGGTATACGGAGAGCCGCGTGCCCCACAGGCACACGAACACGGTCACCATCACCTGCCGGCTGTCGTACGTCTGCACGAGGGGGAGGACAAAGTGAATACACGGGGGTTGTTTACGCCAATGCGGATTTTCGCGACGCGCCTGCATGGATCTTGTTAGATAAAAGGAACGTCGTGTGAAAAAGTTGATAGACAGGCACAGGTCATCCGTAAATAGGTATTAAATATATCTTGCCGTTGTATTTATAGCGGCGACTTCATCGAGGATAAAACTGTCGATGATAAAATCCGCAGTGGCAATATGCCGGCGCTAATGCGCCTCAAGATGTGTTTCGACTTTCGAAGGGGAGAGAAAGAGAGAATTGGAATGATTTACGAATTTTAATCCGCAGGTGTCGCATAACTACCCTAGTAGAACATATTAGTCGTGAAAACATCAAGATGACATCGTTTTTTGGTCATTTTTTATGGTGACGTCAAAATAGCCCACCCATCTATTTGTGACATCATTAGGACATTAAAATGTTGTAAAAATGATCTTGTTTTACAAAGTAAAGTTAATTAAATATTATACATTAAAGATAAATTGAAGTAAAACAGCATGTCATTGCAAAGTAAATCTTGATGTCGATCATTTTAATGTCACATTGACGTTTTTGCGATTAACTTGTTACTTGGCTAGTATCTCTCTTTCTCTTCGAGTCTGTAAAAAATTTCCAAACTTATCCTAGAGTCTCTCCTGATCTCAGTGCAACTCGTGGAGCGATTTGCCAGGAGAGCTCGTTCATCTTGTATCCGCGGGTAGCTTTTCGCGCGCGCTTTTCTCGGGGTCCAAGAACACCCCGGATATTTTAATATCCAGATTTTACCCGGATTTTATCGAACTACATGGATCACGGGTGCCCGGGTATCGGGCGTCAGAAGTACCTTGCCCACTTGACCAAGAAAGAAAGTGAGGAGGGCGAGGATGATGAAGTTGGTGCCGCCGGCGAAGTCCGTCAGCTTATCCAGCTGGAAAGTGGCCGCGATCGTGAAGAAGATGAGCTGCATACCGACGGTCACGATCGCGCTCACGGCGAAGTGATCCTCGTCCAAAATGTCGACCGCCATATCCTCTCGATGACACGTCAATCGCCTCCGGGCAAATTATCTCGGACTCTGAAACACGATCGTCCGCACCGATGTCTCAATCACCTTCTACTTTAATCCAAAATTAATTTAGCTACGTTTCATGTGAAGATCGTCGCCTCGGAGTCAGCAATTACCGCTCGGCGTGGAAGACGTCGAGTAAGTTAAAGAGAATTTTTATGATTTACGCCTCGATTATTAAATGAAAATTATTAATATTACGTAGACAATGCTAATGATATCTTGATTAATTCAAAGGAAATAAAGTTTGCAAAATTCCCTTAAACTTCCGGCACGCGTAACGATAATTAAGCCTTTTCGCGCCAATTAAAAAAAATTAACTCGATTACCTTTCTCGGTGCGAATAAATTTGTAATAAAAGACCAGGAAATACAAGAGGACGGAGAATCGCCAATCCGACTAAGTCGAGCTGTGCGGAAGCTAAGAGGAAAGGGAGAAAAAAAAGAAGCGACTGTTCAATATAATTCATGCGTCGTTTTACAAATTAATCCGCGGTGTCTCGGCCACCCTTGAAAAAAAATCAGTGTTGGAGGGAAGAGAAGACGGTCGATAGCGGATCCTGGCAAATTAACAACAAGCGACACGCTCCAGATAAACAAACCGCTCGTGTACGTCGACGCGCGTATAGTTATATTACGATTTCCGCAATGCGGAAAACGCGGGGACGCGTCGAGGAGGACGGTGTGTGCCCGTCGCCGTGACACGGGACCAGGGAGACCCTCGTTTAGAAATTTATGGCGCGCGAGGAACACCGTGGCTCGCGTTCTTGGCAGCGGTATTTTGAATAATTTGAGAACGTTCCAGCGCGTACAGCTTATGAATTTAGAATTACCTTCAAAAAGCCCCGTTCTCTCTTTCTCCCTCCCGACACCCCTTCCTTCTCACTCTCTCTCTCTCTCTCTCTCTCCGCGAAATAATCTAGCATGAACCTCCGTGCAGGATTGTACTCATTATGGAGCGAGACGTTGAACGTCTCGGTCTTCAGATCTAACGCTGCCACCCGCGGAGTGATAACGCAATCGATGTCGCGGGTCTCTCGATTTTTCCAAAGCGGCGGACACCTCGGGGGAGAGCGGAGAAAGAGAGAGAGAGAGAGAGAGAGAGAGAGAGGGGGGGGGGGTGAGAGGGAAAACGCAGGAAATTACCTCTCCCGTGGAGAACCGCATCTCTCGCGGTGGCTTTTCCAGCGGTGGGCTACGCGCGCACCCGCCCCGAGGCCGCTTGGCTCGGCAGGAGGCGCGAAGAGGGAAGTCCAATGCCGCGGCTAAATCGAGGCGCGCACTCCCGCACGACGGTATCACGTGTGCGATGCGAGTCCGCGGCGGGTCGGCGACGGCAGTCGCGCGAGCCCTCCTCGCGCGCCCATCGACGGCGCGGAGGAGCGCGAGATGCGCGCGTTTGCCACCACCGCGGCGGGGGAGGAAAGAAGAGAGAGAGAGAGGGAGAGCGGACGAGAATCGCCTCGTCCCGTCCTCTCTCCCTGCCCTCACGCACCCGCGATGCGCGTTCTCCCTCCTGGTGCCGTCGCCGCCGCCGCCGCACCGCGCACGCCTCCTCCGGAGCGCCTCTCCGCCGAGGGAACGTCCCCGGCGTTCGTTTTCAGGGACACCTGCGTCAGACGGACCGCGGCTCCGGCGTGGCCCGTCCATTCCCTCCGCGCGTCGCTCTCGGGAGGGATTGTCGCGGTTTCGTTTTAATTGATCGGAAGACAATTGATTGAGCGGATTGCATTAGGCGCGCGTTTCGGGCCACTTCGTTTGCTAGTTGATTGGTTTCTACATTTTTCAATTTTCTTTCCTCTGGTCTTGTAACTTTGTTTCTCATATAATTTATACTTTTTTTTCCGCAGATTTCTATAAAATGTAAATCGGAAAGTTTAGAGCGAAAAATGACTCCGTCGTCGATCCCGTTCTCTCTTGAATCCTAGCCACCCCTTCAAAATTTCTCCGCCCTCGTTCCAAGTTTCTTTCTAATCCTCAATCTACTCCTTTTCTTCCAACCTCAGTGGTCTCCAACAATGCATTAGTCGCAGCATCCATTTTCCTTTTATACCCATCTATTTTTCCCACTCTTTACCCTCCTAATTAGAACTTTCCTCCCTTCCATTTCTCTTTTCCTTTACTTTATTTTCCCTTCATATTTTTGGTTCCTTGTATCTTACTCTCTTCCCGGTCCTTCCATATTGCCCGCTCGCAATCTTCTCACCGACCTCCACGCCGATCGTTCGTTTCAACGATACAGGTCTTGCCCCATGCGTCTTCAGGACGTATTTATCGCGATTATCTTATAACGCTTATCTCCTTCGGAAGTGTCGCAATGTAATTCGGTTCATCGAGCGAGGAATCAATATTGGATGCGCCGGCGCCTCGCTGAAAACGCTCGAAGACGGAAATATGATGCAGATACTCTCGCAACCGCGGACGCTCGCAGAAAAGTTTCGAATAAAATCGTGTTCCCGTGAATGAAAAACTCAAATGAGAGCATCGAATTATTGCAAGGGTATGCAAAACGATCTACTAGTGGCCGACGAATCCTAGATTCGATCCCGAACCTCGGCCCGCGTATGCCTCGATTTTACAAAGGGTTGATTACAAAGAGTCGAAGGTCGCGCGGAAGGAAGCACGTATGCAGTGAACGCTCCTGCTTCGGGAAAGCTTCATTTACGCTCAAGTCCAATCCGCAATGCGTTTATCGCAACGAGAAACATTCTATTTTACACAGGCAAACAAATATATTTGAAACATTTGTGTCGACAATGCACAATTGTGCCGTGTAAGTACAATATACAGTTTACGCAACACGCGCAAATTTTTTAAACGCCTTTCTCGGCTATGAAGCAAGACGTTTCTAGACGCAAGGAACGCATTGTAGATCGGGCTTTACAAATTGACTTGCGCAATACCAGTTACGGTAAAAATAAATTATATTTATTTCAATATTACATAGCGTAATATCCTTAATGTTATTATAAATGCAAACTAAAGATCTCACGCGCTTCTCTCGTCATACATCGGTTAATAAACTCAATTAGAAAACGGATCCTCCCTTAAATCTCATACACTTCAGTATGAATACATCCCGACTGTGTAATGATATCCACGTCGTAATGCGTATCTTATGAGCGTTTATTCGATAATATATTATTGATAACATGTATATATTAAAAATCGCCATATACATCAGCCTGTTTGCAGTGCCAATTTACGATTGCACGACAGTGCAACCTGCAGTGCCATCGCCCGCTGGTTCCCCGGCCAATCTCAACGTCTCGCGCTTAAATCTAGTTCCTAGTGTACTTGCCCCAGATGTGAAGCATAAATACGGAAGCGATGAACAGGAGGGACATAACTAGCACCGGCACAGGCCCGCTGCAACAAAACAGTTTAAATGTCTCTTAGAACGCCGTCGGGACACCTCGCGATCGCGCGAGCGAGGGCCAACATTGTGGAGAAATAAATTATCGATCAACGTGGGAGGCTCGATCTTTGCCTGCGCGTCAACGTATCGCAGCTACTCGTTATCTCTTGCGATGAACGTAGACACGCGTCGTAGTGTCCGAGACACACGTACGGAACGCGTCAATTGCCAGACAAAATCTGTACGGGGACTCTATAGCTTGTTGGTAAAAGTGATTCTTGAAAAAATAAAGAAACAGCTTTCACAGGTAGTCGACGAAAACCATGGATGGCAAAGGTCCTCCTTGTAGCTGGCCGACCCATACTTACACTTTGATGCCAGGGGAATCGTCGGTGTAAAACCTCCACATGCCACCGGAGCTCGTGCCGGTGTTCCTGTTCCTGGCGGACGAGGTGACGGTGGTCTTCCTCTGCCTGACCGTGCCGCTACCACCTGTTCTCGGCGCTATGGCCTTGCTGGGTGACCGTCCAACGGACCCCACGGACGTAGCGCTCGGCGCGGCGGGCTTTTCCGAGAAGAAAAGAGAGAACATACGTTAGGCCTCCCTGTTCTCGTCGAATTAGAACGCGAGAATCGTCGTTCTAATTCATCGTGCTCACCATTGTGCGACGGCTTTAGCCTGGAAGAGTGCCGAGAGATCGGGGAACGCCACGGATTCCACCTGTCGTCGAAACACACCGGATACCTCAGCGGCGCTTGCGTTCTGCGGATCCCCTGTAAAATACGGATCGTCAAGGGACGAAACGCGTGAACGGGACGCACCTGGAAGACACCTCTCTTGTTTCCTCACCTCTCGGCGCGAGAAGCGACGGGCGACGTGACAGCGAAGACGCACGCCAACGGGCGATTCGAACGCAGGCTGGCCGTGCGACGCTTGTGCAACGCGGAGCAGCGACGCGACGTGTCGAGTGTACACCCTACACGTGGTACGCGGCGAACACGTCACCGTAGTCGCGGCTGCGTTCTGCCGCCGCTCCGTGATTGGTCCGCCACGCTACACGAACGCACGAACACTCGCGAATCGTGGCACTATCTAAAATTCCAAGAAATGGAATTCCGAGATTTTCGAACATTTAATCGCGAAAATTAGGAATCTCGAAAACTGGCAAAGTATCAGGAGCACATGATCAGCAAAGAGGTGGCACTATCTAAAATTTCCAAGAAATGGAATTCCGAGATTTTCGAACTTTTAATCGCGAAAATCTTGAATCACGAAAATTGACAAAGTATCAGGAGCACATGATCAGCAAAAGGAAAAGAGCGTGGCATAAATGAAAAAATTCAGGTACTTGCAATTTCAATTTTATTATTTTAACTGGCCGCACCTGTTCAACTATAAAGAACAGACCTGTAATTAAAACGCAGTTTTCCACCAATCCAATGGAACTTCGCTAGTAATCAAAATGGCCCCTGCCATCGTCCATTGCACACGAATATCTAGATGTCAGTGAGCCCCTGAAAAATCGCGCTGGTCCGCAGCGCCATCTTATCGTGGACGTAGGAACTACGTATGCCGCGTCCATTATCTCAAGATGGTAAAACGCTATTTGGTTTATATCCGGCTGCTCAGCTGGAAAAGTTATAAGCTGGAGGCTCCAATTTGAAGGTTAACGCGATCTGTTTCGTAAAAGGAGAAAATTAAAGAAGAGTTGTCGCAGGAGTTGTCACGTCTCATCACAGATCGCAGGCTGGAATCACGAGACACGGTAGTGTCTCGCGCCAAGTGTAAGCGTAGCTAGTACACGCTATAATTAACAGTAGTACGTTCATTCAGGGTCTAAGCAGGAATATTGTTGTGGGTGTTTGCGATTCCGAAGTCAGACGCTGGTCGAGGTCAGAAGTGAACGCGCAAATTATTGACTTACGACAGAAATCGTAAACGGTTACGACAATCGTTTTGCTCATGCCCTTACTCGCCGTGAACGTAAGCAGTAATTCGTAACGAAGATGCGGTCCGATGACGAGGCGTTGGAAGACGAGGAAGAGATGCTCGTTTACGTGGAGTTCGAGGGGCTCACCGGTAGCGACATGTTCAGTAATGAGGATCTTCAACTGGATATGATTGGAATAGACACCGAGCATCCCATGATGGAAATTAACGGGCGGGTACGTTGCGTCCTGTAGTGTTCAACGGATAAAATACAAAGTGCGGGTTACATTTAAACCTGTATTTATTTCCTACCTAATTGTGTTTTGCACAATTGCAGTTTTACGAGGGCACTTATGAGGATGCCATGGGCACTTACATGTTCTTCGAGAAGGACGACAACCCGAGGGTGGACGATGAAGTGTTCGATAAGGTGCCGTCTCTAAAATATTTCACTAAGACGAGAAAGTTGCTCAAGATGCAGAGAGTGTTCACGAAACCGAGGGTCGAGGTCCTTGGCGATTCCGAACACGCCAGTTGTATTCCAAACACCGAAATGTTATCGCAGGCTGGAGTGCCCCCGAAGTATCAGGAGGAAGGTGAGAAATGGAGCAATCTTTCTTCGTTTGCCCATGTGCTTCGTGCTGTTTTCAACGTGAAATTAATTTTTCCAGCCGTAGAGTTTTGGAATAAAGTACGCAATGACAGAATGGAAGAGCTAAGTGCGTTTTTGAAGAAACAGAAAATCAGGGAAGAGAAAAAGTCCAAAGGTATTGCGTCGAATTCGGAATCTGACGAGGATAGCCCACTTGCGGCCACAAATGAAGTCAAATCGAAAGAGGCATGATTGGACTTCCAAAATTATTTTCTTAAAGTACGTACTTCTCTCTCTCTCACTAATACGCCTGAAGTTTTAACGATGTAATTTTTATTCCAAAATCAAACACAACTCAAGTCTCTGATAGCAACGAGTTGAAGAGTAAAAAGGGAAAGGGATTTTCAGTATTTTCCCGAACTGTTTTAAAGTTCTAGCTAAATATTTTAGTATTTAGAAGTCGATGCTTTTATCACAAGTTTGCAAGCATTTGTACATTAAAAACATGAAGTCGGCACAATAATGTTAATGCTTATTATATGAAAAAAGGAGTTATATAAAATTATCATTTAAACGGATTAAAAAATATAAATGTTTGCTACACCATTTTATCTAATGTAATTTGTTATAAAATAAGAATATTTAATTTCTTAACTACGCCATACCTTTCACAGTGTAATTTTACGATGTCACAATATTAATTTATCGGATTAAGAGATGTTACATATATAAGGAATAATGTCCTTAACGCTTCCACTTTGAATGTGGAAAATAGAACATGTCGCATATTATTATTTGCTTGCACATTCTTTTTATTTCAATCACACACAATCCTACGTTTTGCACGTGAAATTAGAAAATACTGAATTGAACCCAAAAGTACAAATCTTTTCTAATGAAATATTCTAGCAAATAGAAAATCTTATTCATATTTATTTTATGTATAGTTACATATATAATATATATATATATATTTCATGTGTAGAAAGCCTAATCTACAATGCGCTCTCTGCATTTAGAAACGTTCTATTTTATATAAACAAATCGAAACGCTTAAAAAATTTGTCGACAGTGTACAAGTGTACAGTGTATAATATACAATTTATTCACTTGCGCAAATTTTTCAAATGTATTTATTGACTACAAAATAGAGTACTTCTAGACGCAAATAGCATTGTATATTAGGCTTCAATCTGTTATCAAAATTTGTATATTGTAAGTTCTATTCGATAAATCTAAACTTAACATTTCACAAAGTAATGTTTAGATATGCATTATAACATGAGACTTTATCAAAGCGTACATCGCAGTGTGTTACGTGTTCGTTGTTTCATTGCAGAGACCTGAGTTTTGTTTAATTCTACAATTGTAAATTGCACATTGTGTGTGTCTTCACCAGTCGAGGTCACCAGGTAGTTCGTCCGGATACTCTCCCGTCAGGCAGGCAGTGCAGTGGCCGATATAACTACTCTCGCGATTGTCCATGCGGCACCTGACTGCCTCGACAAGTCCTTCGACCGAGAGGTACGTTAAGCTGTCGGCTCCTACGTGCTTGGCCAGTTTTACACTGTCGAGCTTATTCGCAATAAGTTCTTCTCTTGTTGGAATGTTGATGCCCATGTAACATGGATACTTCAACGGCGGCGACGCTATTCTAACGTGAACCTGCCAACACGAATGAATGTAATAAAAGTTAAACAGAAGCGAGGAAGGAAACGGCATTAAAAGATACCTCCTTGGCGCCGGCGTCGCGTAGCAATTTGATAATCGGACCGATTGTATTTCCCCTGACGATCGAATCGTCAATGAGAACCATTTTCTTTCCCTTTACATTCTCCGACAACGCTCCGAATTTCTTGGCTACGCCGAGCTGCCTCAGTCGCGTGCTGGGCTGAATGAACGTCCTACCTACGTACCTGTTTTTGCACAGCACTTCGGCGAAAGGTATCTTAGACTGTAACATGAGACAAAAAGAAGAAAGGCAATAAGAGCCAATGCCAGATGTTAGGTGCGAATGAGTTAAACGTTTCGATCACATGAGATGATCGAAGCGTTTGAAACTTTTAAATTTATTAAGCGTTAGATTTTGTTTGCATTTACTTGTCTGGCGTATCCGTGTGCCGCCGCAGTTCCAGATTCTGGGACGGAACTGACTATGTCTGCTTCAACCGGGGATTCCAGCGCTAGTACCCGTCCGCATTGCATACGTACGGAATATACCATTTGTCCTGTAAACGAACGATTAAACGTTCTTCTTCTCAACATCCAACGCGCTCATGTTCTTCTTTACCTTCGAAGATACTGTCGCCCCGACTGAAGTAGACGTACTCGAAGATGCAGAAAGCCTGCGGCTTGTTATTTGGTCTTTCCACTATCTCGATAGTTTTAATGCCCTCTCTAGTCATCTCCACAATCTCGCCGGGAAATACCTCGCGAACGTACCTCGCGCCGATGCTCAAGAATCCGCAAGATTCCGACGATATTACCCAGCCTTCCGCCTCATCGTCATCGTCGTCAGACTCGTTATTTGCTGCGATTTATTATTTTGCATTAGTGTTAAAAAAGTCATCGTTATGAAATAGTTAATATTTCAATACGCACCTAAATTGCCAATCGGCACAATCTTCCCTATACAAAGCGGCCGATTTCCGTAAGGATCTCGCACGCCGTAAATCTTGTCCCTCTGCATTATCACTAAAGAATATGATAACGGCGCCAATTGCATAAGGTGTTTAATACGAGCGGGCCAGTCAGGTCCATTGACCTCACCTTCCGGCGGATTCAAGCAGAGCGCTTGTGTTATGAGCTCCGAGTCCGAGTGCGTCGACAGACCAACGCCCCGTCCTAATACCTGAACATACATACGAGATCAGAACGGAATTCAGTTTCCTTAAGGCTCCTCTGGTCCCTGCTGCAATTGTCCCTGTTTAATAACGTCCAAAGCGAGAAATGACACGCTGAGAAACGCGTGCCATTTTCAAATAAAAAGATATTTGGATGCAAGAATACCTCAGGCTGCTTCAGCACTCTTGTTAAATTGTCCGAAAACTACCCTTTTCCTTTGACAGTTAATAAACTGTTTATCGAAGGAAAAGGATGGTTTTTGGACAATTGTATAAATGTGCTAAAGCGACCCGAAGCGTCTTCCATCCAAGCGTCTTTTCATCTGGAAATGTAAGAATTTCCAGCGTGTCATTTCTCGCTTCTGACATCTTTCTGACGTCAGGAGCGTTAACGCATAACCCGATAAGATAACTAAGAAAACAAGCTGGCAGAGAGATACACTTTTGTTCCTCCGCATTACCATTTTTCGAAGAGACTCCGTGTTGACTAATTCTCCATTATGACCCACTGCGAGCGCCCCGTGCGCAGTGTGCACCACGAACGGTTGACAGTTGACTTCTTCGCTGGCCGCGCTTGTGCTGTATCTGGTATGACCAATTCCAAGATTTCCTTTGAGCTTTTTCATATTCTCATCGTTGAAAATATTACTGATCATTCCCATACCCTTGTGAACATGGAATGACTTGGAGCAGACGCCCTCGCTCGTGACGATTCCTGCGCTTTCTTGTCCCCTATGTTGCAACGCCACTAAGCCTGAGCGAAAACAGATAGAGAGAGATATGCTGTATTTCGTATTACAAATACCAACGCTCCACCCTCGCTCTCATTTCCGCCGTTTCGTTTTCTCTTCTTACACATTTACATACACTGTTTTTTTTATTTCAGCTAACTTCTATCGTACAAGACGAGCGTACCTACCTAGACAAATAACTTGAGCAACGTCAATCTGCGACGGCCAGTCCCCAGCAGCGATGCACCCGAAAACGCCGCATTCGTGTGTAAGACCAGTCGGCTTCTGCCCCCTGGTTTCACCCTTGCTCCGTGGCCTCGTACATTTCGATTCCTTCGTGGAAAGGCGAGACATTGCTTTGGCGCAATGTTCGCTATCTTTATCATCAAACGTTTCCATCGCGATCTATAATAAATATGAAAGATATTAATTTTTTTCCTATTTTCACATCGGTATGTGTAATGACGATTGATTTTTATAAATATAGCACTTGAAAAAATCAAGCATGTGCAAGAATTGTGAAGTATTAAGGTATAGACATTAGGTTTGCTTTCCGTTCCTGCACTGGTGAACTAGTGTAGTAAGCTAGAATGAGAAAAATATACTTGTCTCACTCTAATTTATTGCGTCAGTTTACCAGTGCAGGAACAGAAAACAAACCCATTAATAAGTAGTAATTAAGTAACTAGATTGAAAGACCACGAAAGACGACGACGACGATGATATAAATACGTTCTCTTATTATCAGCATTTAATTTAGTTTACTTATCACAATATCGATTTCCGAGATTGGAAAATTTTTGATGATTAATACGTGAAATTGATTTCTTAGAATTTAGATGCAACTTCCACTGGTAAACTCAATAAATCAATATTCTACACCTACAAAGTTTCTCGCAACTTTTGCATGTAGACACATAGATTGGATATAAATTATATATCGCGCACCCCATTAAAATGCCTAATAGATCCTTTCGCAATTCTCCTCCGTGCATTATCTGCGTTGCCCTTATAAACTATTGACCCCCAAGCGGACTGATAGAATCGACATATCTTACGTTTGTTCAATGCTACAACTATGTTTTCTCATCAACGTTTACGCAATACGCATTTCGCAACTGATTTCATCATCTTACATCGTACTGACATCACGAGTGTCAAAATATAGAACAGTTATATTTGTGTTTACAGCAAATCAATCCTTTCGCGTCACGCGAGAAATCGCACAATATTTTTCTGCGACTCAATTTTCCACTATGTGGAAATCGTCACGTTATAAGCTAACATGTAGATATGAGTGTGTAATGCTGTCGTTTTCTCTCGTTGATGTAAGTTTGACTCTGTATAAGTCGACTCGTAAAGTTAGAAATCACCAATGTGTAAAAGAAAAACTCGTTTATTTACCGGTGAAATAAATCGAGATTGTTTTCGTAAATATTAGTTTTGACGCGAAAGCTTCACAAATGGACTTTCATTCTGTTATTAATGAAAATCTATGAAATGCAATTTGGAGTAATAATTCTACTGAGTAAGAGATATAACGTTAATCTCTTATGGTTTTGACTTATGACTCTGATTTTTTAGAGGAGATTGACGCCAATTACTACAACAAATATTTTGGTTTCTCAATCAACGTGGAAAAGAGATTTATCTTCTGAATAAATCGCTGAAGAGGCTAAAAGTAAATAAAATGTATTAAATATTCAATCGCCGCGGACTTTAATCACTCGTCGAATAGAGATACTCGGCGTAATTCGATACAACGTTTCGAACCGGGGGAACACGTAAATGTTTTTACTTACGGTAGTCTCTCGGATACTTTTTATTCGACGATAGTTTCTCGAGAAAAACTGTATTTCCTTTTCGTTTGAAACTTCAGAGCTTCGACCGCGTTATCGTAAGTTAATCTGGCGTCTTAATAATCGAATTACAGTCACGCTCGACTTGTTTGAACTGGATAAGCAAGAATTTCAATAGGTGACTCAAGAAGAGGAGTCGGAATCGAACGATTTTGAGCGGCGTATTTTGTTAAAAAAATTGTGTTTCTCTTTTGTGCGGACGAGTTCCGCAACTTTACGCTGTACTTGCACAAATTACTCAGCTGTGGCACTATTTAGTAAATTTATTTAACGATATTCGATATACGTGAAGACACCAAATCAAGCAAAATGAAGTTTCGAACGAATCTGTCGTAAAAATAATAGAAAAATCGCAGACTATTTTTTAAATATTGAAACTATAGAGGACGATTACTCACTCCGGTTTTCACCAATGTCACTTAACTTTGTTCTTAGATTAATTCATCCTTCGTTTCTCTCAACACCTGTGTCCACGATGCTAGAACTTGATTCAAGTTCTAGGGTTCGATCATGAATCTTTTCCTCTATCGTGAACTCGTGAAAAGTGTACAATTTCATTGACAAATATTGAATTCGTCAATCAAATTTTTGAAGGAAAAGACTCATGGTCGAGCCCCTAGAGAAATGTGCAGCCAATCACTTTTATGGAGTAGCTGCAAGTTGATTGGCTACACATTTCTCGTAAAGTAGAACTTGGGCCAAGCATCGTGGACACAGGTCTCTAGAAAAAGAATACATAGAATGAATTAAGCTAAGAAAGTTAAACAACGTTGATGCAAACGGGCCTTAATGAGTTAATCGTAGTTTAATTCAATTTTTCTCTCTTGGACCCGGTTTCACCAACGTTGTTTAACTTTACACTTAGCTTGGTTCGTTCTTTGTCTCTTACCAGCTGTTACTTTAAAAAGAGACAAACATGAATTAAACCACGATTAAAATTAAGCGACGTTCGGTGAAACTGGGCCTAAGGTCGCTTAACTTTAAAGCTCAGCTTAATTCATTCGTCGTCTTTTTCTAACTGTTACTCCAGAAAGAGACATACATGAATTAAACCAAGATTAAAATCAGGCGACCAACGTCCCTTAACTTTAAGCTCAGCTTAGTCCGTTCTCGGTCACTTTCCGACTGTTACTTTAGAAAGAGACAAACGTGAATTAAACCAAGATTAAAATTAGGCGGCCAACGTCCCTTTAAGCTTAGCTTAGTCCGTTCTCGGTCTCCTTCCGACTGTTACTCCAGAAAGAGACAAACGTGAATTAAACCAAGATTAAAGTTAAACGACGTTCGATGAAACCACAGCACAACCTAGCAGGTCCAGTCTCTGCCGGTCCCTTTAATCTTTGCGATCTGTCCCGATCACGTAGTATTCGCTCCGCCATACACACCCGGGCAGGATCCAGCGACGCGTGTGTGTATACATACTCGTCAAAGCACACATACAACTTTTCTTTCGTTGGTCTGCCCAGTTGGATGCGCGGAAAGGACCGACGCAAAACGAAACAAAATGACAGAGCAGACCTGCTAATCACACTATGGTGAGACCAGGCTTAAAGACAGGACCTCGCGTACTGAACAAAAGTCTTACGCAGCGTGCATGAAATGCGCGTGACGCGTATGCGTAACAATGAACCCATCAAGACCGCACTGTTTTCCCGGAGCCTCGGGGCCGGAAAGCGGCGTTTATCCTCGCCATTCGCGAAACTGAAAAGCGATAAAATGCCGAGCGTGAATTTCCAGGCGTTCGTCAAGAATGGATTCGCGGGAATAAATGTACCCTAAGCAACAACGAGGAACTGTCTATCTGACGCGTCGTCACGTCACGGCTCGGCGGGACCGCGTGGCACGAAATAAATAACGCGGTGAATTAAAACAATGCCACTCGCGGTCAGCCGGAGCAGATTCGCCGCTAACGGGCGAATCGTCGCGCTACAGGAGTCGTCGCGCGACCGGCCCCCGATTTCTTCCCTTATAAGTATACACCTCCGTCCTTCACTTCGCCCAAGATCCCACGGACAACGACGGAGGGCAACTACCTGTTCGGCACCGAAACGGTAGACGCGCGCGAACGGGGGCTTCGAAAAGTCCCAAACAGCTCCGGATCGCGCACGGAGGGACCCCGAAGGGAACGGGGACCCGTGGGACCCTCGGACCGACCCCGGGGAAGCGATGCGACGTACCTCACGTGTGCCGAGCGTGCGTGGCGTACACCTCGCGTGCGCCGAGAAGACGTGCAACGCGCTCCGTGCTCCTTGTACCGCCTCGGGAACACGTCTGATCCGCGCTGCGGCGCGTACGAAACGTGCCGCCGCGTCCCGAACGCGTTCTCGAATGCTGGGGTGCCCGCGCGCGACCAATGAGGGCGAGACTCACCGCCGCGTGGGCCCGGAGGGGCTCGGTCGGCGCGACGCGTTATCTCCTCCCTTCGAAGAAGAGGGACGGCCCGCGCGCGAGGAGTCGCCATGCTGATGAGCTCCGGGTCGGAGCCACCAAGTTGGGCCCGACTCCGTCGCGTCTGGAGATCTCGGGGCGAGGTCCACGTTGAACGTCCAGGAACGAGCCAAGGGCAGATCGCTTAAGCCAGCGTTATTTACGTCAGCCGCGGCGTGATTGTTGAAATTAGCCGCCGATTAGCGGCCTCGAGCGGGCGCGCGTGTGACGTAATGGTCTGAATTTCGTGACTCGAATGAGAAAGATGACTTGTAATTACTATAGTTGTATCTGCAATCAATGTAATTTGTTAGTTTAATTGTAGAAGAGCACAGACGGTCGTTGTGCACGCAAGAATTCGCCTTTTCCAATTCTTTGGGAGTTGCCGTGATCTGTTCGAAGCGAACTCCGAAAGAATGTATACACAGTTGGATAATTTGTGTTTTCTCGTTAAAATTTTCGTGTTAAACGTTTAACACGTTGCTCTTGTGTTAATTGACCTTAAATGTCAAATTATTAGAATAACTGAAGAGAAACGTTGAGACAACACAATGTGTACTTATTTTTTAAACTTACACAATACGTTATATGTTCTATATTATTAGTAACAGGATTTATCTGTTAAAATTTACAGAATAAAATGTCGATTTTCTTCTATATAACATAAGTGAGAGTGAAATCGAACCGTCATTTGACTTGTTACATCTGTAAAATGTAAAAATTACATTTTCAAAAATTCCCTTTGTCTTTGTCTGACATAATTGTACAGTATTTGATGCAAATGTGGTGTAAATGTAGTTACAAGATGTAAATGTACAGTAAGTTTTCTAGTGATTGTTTCGCTTACGCATTTCTATAAGGGAAGAGACAAAGAATGAAGTAAACCAAGATTAAACGACGTTGGAGGCCGGGTCTAAGGCCCGGTTTCACCAAACGTCCTGACTTCGATCTTACTGTAATTCGTGTTTGGCTCTTTCCTAAAGTAAACGGTTGGAAAAAGACAAAGGACGAATTAAGCTAAGCTTATAGTCAGGCGACGTTGGTGAAACCGGGTCCAGGACTCAGTCGACCGCCAGTCCGCGTCGGAACCTTCTGGAACGTCTCGTAAACGAACTCGGCGGGACACGATGGATTATGACACGCGGTGGAAATAGCCCCGATGTGGAGCGAAAATATTATTCGAGCGATTTTTCGTCACCGATATCACGTTGTCGCAACGAGGAGCCGGCGCGAGCCAATCGGCGGGATCGGACGGACGGGGATCGTAGTGGGGACCGTCAAAGAAATGCGTGTGGAGTCGGCCGGCTTACGTCCATTCCGATAGCAGACGTTAGAGCGGCAAGATGGCTGGTAAGTTCGATAGAACGTTAGAAGCGGTAACGATCTCGGCCGTTGCCACCTGCTTCCACGCTCGGTGGAAGCGTAGATCGGCGCGGCGGATCCCCCGGGACACGTGACACTGACCGCGGAGACTCGCGACTCCGAATAACTTGAGGCGATCACGCCGGAGGAGAGCGAGGTGGGGTAACAGGGATAAACGGAGCAACAGGTGGTCGCGTACTACTCGAATGCCGGCCGGCGGCGCCTCGTTGGTGCGCAAAGTTTTCTCTTCAAACTTACGAACCTCCGAAAATCTTGGGACAACATCGCATTCCGAAGAATCCCAGGAGTTTGTAAATGTTACCGTACACTTACTAGTAAAATGTATGACAGAGTTTGAGAAAACCTTGCCCCACGATTGCACGATTGTCGGGATAAATTTTAAGAGGAAATTCTAGGCAGTTGGAAAGGCGAGGATGAATTATCGATTCGTTTGCTTCATCTGTAAAATGTAAGGAATTTGCCTCGTATCCGATACTAAGAGGGCACCGTTTCCTTCCGTCCTTTACAGATTACAAACTCGGCAAACTCATCAACGAGGGAAAGACGAAGAAGGTTTACGAACTGCTGAACGACTCTACGTTATGTCTGCTGGAGAGCAAGGACCGCATTACCGCCGGCGACGGCGTCAAGTCGCACGCCTTGGAGGGCAAAGCGAGGATCAGCACGTCCACCACCGTGAAGGTCTTCGGATTGCTCAGTCAAGCCGGCATCAAGACGGCTTTCGTTAAGGCTGCCGGGCCGCAGGCCTTCATAGCGAAGAAATGCGACATGATACCAATCGAGTGGGTCACCAGGAGACAGGCGACCGGTAGCTTTCTAAAGAGACACACCGGTACGTCCATGCGTTAACACCGTCCTCTCGAAGCTAACAGAGCCCGGGGTGAACGTTGGAGCGCACGATACATTTGCGTCGCAACTGTTTCTAGGCGTACCTGAGGGTTACAGATTCAATCCGCCTCTGCAGGAGACGTTCTTCAAGGACGACGCCAACCACGATCCGCAATGGTCCGACCAGCAAATCATTTCCGCGGGCTTCCAGATGGGCGGCAGGAAGATAACCAAGGACGAAGTGGATATTATAAAACGCACCACCGTCGTCGTCTTCGAGATTCTCGAGCGAGCTTGGGCGGTGCGTAACAGCTCGTTGATAGATATGAAGGTAGAATTCGGCGTGGACTCGAACGGCGAGATTCTACTGGCTGATATCATCGACAGCGACTCCTGGAGACTCTGGCCTGCCGGTGATAAGAAGCAGATGAAAGATAAGCAGGTAAGACTTTTGTCCCCGCCGATATCTCGAGGCATGTTTTCGTCCGTGTCATATCAGATGTTTAAGATTTTTGCCATACCTGTCCAGGTGTACAGGGATCTGTCCACCGTGACACAACAGAATCTGGAGACGGTAAAGTGTAACTTCAAGTGGGTGGAGGAGCAGTTGGATCATGTCATCGAAGCGCCCACCCCGTTGGTTGTTATACTCATGGGCTCGCCATCCGACGAGGCGCACTGCCGGGACATTGCAAGGCACGCCGCGGCGTTGGGTCTGAAGCCGCAACTCCGAGTCTGCAGTGCTCACAAGGCTACCGAGGAGACTTTGAATATTCTTGCCGAGTACGAGGGCAGCGGGGAAAACGTACGTTCCAGATTTCATCTTTTTACGCAGCTTACACCTATGTAACAAACTTTTGACAGATTCTGTGTAAAGTGTAGGCTCGTCGAATCTATTTTTCGACGAACGCACAAATGTTCGAACAACATTTCGAAAACTTTAGCTTAGACGAATGGATCATTTTTACCGATTTCAAGTTGTCCATTTAATATGCTTGCAAACATATGTTATTCGAGCATTAAAAATGTTAAAAAAATGAAATTTAGATGCAAAAAGACATAATTTAGATTGAATCGCTGTCAGGTCATGTGCAACTAATAATTAATTATTGATAGCTAGTAATAGGATCGATACAACACTACGAGAGATAGCACGTGCACGTACCATTTAAATATATAATTACACAATGCTGATAACTGTAGCAACTTGCAGCGACTTGACGGCAACAGCGATGATGTTGTGCAACTTTATATCGTGATATTTATCGTTACGACACTGGTGGCTAACTCGCGATATCGCGTGCGCTAGCAAAGGATAACTGTATCAAAAACCCATACTGACCCCGCCGGAGCGGCCCCGCGTTATCCTGTTGTGTCTTAATCACGAAACTCGTTGTGATAAAAAGGCCGATAGCCATAAAAAGATTATTTACTCCAGCTTATCACGAGTTTCTTCTTGTTTCTCTTTTCGTAGGTGGTACTGATAGCGGTAGCCGGCCGCAGCAATGGTTTGGGCCCAGTGCTCTCCGGCAATACAGTCCTGCCTGTCATAAATTGCCCACCTTTGAAATCGGACAATATCGAACGAAGCGTGTGGTCCTCGCTCGACGTCCCCTCAGGTATTCGCGATCAATTACATTCGCAGCAATCGAATCTGTCCTCCGAACGGTAAAGCTAAATAAATTGTATTTGCAGGACTCGGCTGTACGACGGTCGTGCATCCGGAGGCGGCTGCACTCGCGGCGGCGCAGATCCATGCGATGCAGAATCATCTGGTCTGGGCTCGTTTGCGAGCGAGGCAACTCTCAAACTACACGTGTTTAAAGCAAGCCGACGTTAAATTACGGAAGTAAACAGCTGTGCTTTCTACTAACAAAACGATAACTGGCAATTAAATTTAGCGTTACAAACGTCATATCGTCAAACCGGAGACAACTGTTTCGTTGTTGTTTTTTGTTCCCCCAAGAGTCTCGTGGAGACACAGCAAATACAATTGTGAGAAGAACCGTACATTCTTTTATATACATTTCAGTGTATTAATTCATTTTGAATGCTACTTTAGAAATATCTTATATAGAGCGATTGTTTTCTTCCTTGTTTTTTGTGCCTTGCATCCATGTAGATTTAGGCACAATTTTGTTAAAAAATACAATATGATCGTGCCATAGATTGCGATACGACCTGAACTTTATCGTATCAATGATCACGTTAGCTCTCTTCATATATATTCTACTGTTACTGATTCTAGTAATACTTTACTGGTTTCAAGTATGCAATATTCGTCTATTTCCGCTTAAGCAAATTTTCGAATAATGTAAAACTTGCCTTTATATAAATTTATAATAAAATGTATGTTGTATCCAGAATAAAAGTGCAAAGTCGAAGATCTCTATCGTTTCATAAAATTGTGTTATTTTTTTTATTACTAAGTGAAATAATATATATTTGTATAATACACAGACATAATATCTATATATGTGTGTGTGTAGAGAGAAACCATGTTGCGCAAGACGCAACAATGAATTTAGAGGTAAATACACTATGAATAAATGAAAGCTAGGTTTGCAAGATTATAAAAAAATTTAACTGATTTTGTATGAAAGATACGTCCAGCAGAACATATGAAAGAGCTACTTCGCTCAAATGAATGAACGATGGGTTTGGAAGAATATTAAAAAATTCAATCGATTTATATATGTATAAAAAATATGTCCAGCAGAACATGCATGAAAGCGATACATCGCCCAAGGCCCCAGTCGCTTTCATGTACAATACATACGCAATTATTTCATGTATTTACACGCGCTTACTTATATTTTCTGTACTATGTACTATATATACGTCTTACTGTATGTACACTGCTTGTATTATTTGCTGCTAAACATCCTTGGCTTTAGCTCGCTAGAGCCTCGATCTCCGCCAGCTCCTTCGGGCAGTTTTTCGTCAAGACTTCTGGGTCGTTTTCCGTTATTAAAACATCGTCTTCTATACGAACACCTAAGCCGTGGAAGTGTGCCGGCGCGTAAGGAGTCTTCGGACTTATGTACACACCTAGCACAGCGTGGAAAAACATGTGAGTTAACTTGTGTCAATTTACAGATGATTCTTTAATAGCGAATTCAGTTGCTTACACTAATGCGCACTGAGTGCACGCTAAAACTTGTTCATAGTCAATTCTTATATGTAAGGATCGTCTCAAATATCTCTCGAGATATCTCTTAGCCAGTGAAACGACCTGTGTAGCATCCATACGGATCGTATTTTGGCTAAATACTCTTTGAACATGTATTTAAGACAGATTTAAGTATCAAGCGTTACTGTGCGCACTAGTGCAAGCAACCGAACTCGGCTACAAGATAAATATGACGCTTCGAGTACCAGGTTCTATCGTTATTATCATTCCAGGTTGTATCCTTATGCTTCTGGATATCTTGCCGGTATCGTGCACGTCCATTCCCAGGTAATGGCTGACGTGGTGCGGGCAATACGCGTACGCGGCCGTCAATAATTTGTTCTCGTCTAGGTCCTTCGGTAACACGCCAATTTCCTGCAATCTTTCCCCGAGAAGGAAACACATGTGGCGGAACGCGTTGTCCAACGACGGCATTTCTCTCAAGCTGCCTATCAAGCTCTTCTGCACGTCGAGCACTATCTCGTAGAGAACCTTTTGTTCTGGCGTAAATTTACCGCTGATTGGCCAGGTCCGCGTTATATCGGACGAGTAGCCGTGATACTCGCAACCTACAAGCGGACAGAGACGCGAGAGCGTTTCGATGACGTGTTAATTAGAATTCTATGAATTTTTCTGCGCACAAACCTGCGTCCATCAAGACCAAATCGCCGCTCTGTGCAACTTGATTGTTACTGATGTAGTGTATCACGTTTGCATTCCTGCCCGCCGCCACGACGGGAGGATACGCCAGATGTTCGGCCCCGCGCATACGACACTCGTAGTCTACAGTGGCGAACAACTGGTGCTCGCTCATCCCCGGCTTCGAGGACCGAATCGTCGTCGCGATAGCGTCGGAGGTGATTCTGCAGCTCTCCCGCATTAAATCGATCTCGCAGGCGCTCTTGATCAGGCGGATCTGATGAAACAGAATCTTGGGGGAGGCGAATATCTGATTGTCCGTCAGTTTGATCAGCTGGCACAGCTTCTTATGCAGGACCGGTTGAACAACGTCCGCGTAATCGTACCACACCACGCTGCCCTTGTCCTCCTGTATGAGCAAGGTCAGGAACCGCTCGAATTCCGTGACCGGCAGCGCGTAATCCGTGCCGAACAACTCGGTCGCGACTTCGACGCCGGTACGCGGGCCGTCCCACAATTCCGAGTGCTCGTCCCTCGACCGCACGAACAGGGTGTACGAGGGCTTGTCCTCCTTGCACGTGAGTACCAGGATACTGTCCGGCTCCTGACACCCGGAGAAGTACAGGAAGTCCGTGTTCTGCCGAAAGACGTACGGTATCTTGTCCGACATGTAGACCTTAGACGAGGCAGGTATGACGACTACCTGCTGCCTGTGCACACTCTTGGCGCTCGTCGTCAAGCTCTCCGCCAGTTTGGCGCGTCTCGCCCTCAACTCCTCGAGCGACACACCCGGCAGCACTTGGCCGGGCTTGAGCAGATGGGGATGCGTCGTCGGCGTCGGCTGCCCGCACGCCTGCGGGTGAGCGCCCCGTGTGCATTCTCGCTGCGTCAGGTTGCTCTTCGGCGTCGTCTCCGCCGAGAAGTACGCCAGCAGTTGACAACCTGAAAACGATATCGATGCTGAACGCCAATCCAAACGGGCACGGGTGATCGTTGAGACAGAATCCGCTTTTACGAAGAATCGTTATACAAGTTCACTTTTCTTTTCTCTTTTTATGGAATGGCGCAATCCGCTCGAGACGAGCTCGAAAGAATCCCTTTCCGGTGGTTCAAGGAGATTCTGTAAAGACACACCTCTTGTCTTTTCAAGCTAGAGCTGTTCTTAATGCAGAGAATTTTCTTTCTATTCGAAAAAGGACTCGGAGCTCCGCTTGAACTCTCAAGAATGTTTTCAGAAACGGGACGGACAAGGAATTCACCTTGCAACTCGGGAAAGAATTCTTTTCGGACTCTCCGCGCGGACCTTTTTTTTTGTTACACGTCGGATAAAAATATCGGATTTATCGCGATATCTCACGCGAGCTGCAATAAGCGACAATTTACTTTCGCGTTTGACGCGCTGTCGTGCACCGGCGTAAGTGTACGTCTCTCACCGAATTTATTCGGACTGTATCTCAGCGAATGCTTTATGCTGCTGAACATATTCCTTCCTTCAGATACTTTTGGCAGCCGCTGACGCTCGCTGGAACTTTATCGCTCGTGCTTTACTCGCTGCAAGCAGAGCAATATTTTGCGTTCGATGTAGAGTCTAACCTATAAAATTCTTAGCATACGCGGTGTATACATACATCGAGCCTCGTCTGACTCGCACAGCTGAGAACTGAGAACGACCAATCACGTGTTGAACCATGGTGGAAATAACAAGGTGAAGCATTCCCGATGCTGCGCACACAGTATAACCAGT